GGGGGGAAGGGAAAGGGGAGGGAAGGAAATGGAGGGGAGGGAAGGTAAGGAAAGGAGGGAGGAGAGGGGAGGGGAGGGAAGGAATGGAGAGAAAAGAGAGAGAGAGAAAGGAAGGAAGAAAAGAGAGATAAAGGAAGGTAATGTGATGCGTGTAATTCCAGTGCTTTGGGAGGGCAAGGCCGGGGGATTGAGACCAGCCTGGGCAATACACTGAGACCCTATCTCTAAAAACATTAAAAATTAACCACGCATGGTGGCATGCCTGTAGACCCAGCTGAGGCTGGAGGAGGCTGAGGAGGAGGATCGCTTGAACTCAGGGGTTTGAGGCTACCGTGAGTCATGACTGCACACTGGAACTCCAGCCTGAGTGACAAAGCGAGACATGACACTGTCTTAAAAAAAAAAAAGAGTGATATTGTGAATAAAATCCTTGAGTCTTTCCTAGGATTCCTAACAGTGTCAGTTTGCAAACTAATACCAAGGGAATACCTATTTTAAAATTCAAATTCTTTCTTTCATATAGTCACTGGTTACACTGTACCAGTTACAGAGTTACGGATAACAATCTGATTTTCAAAGAGCAAATCTTTCAAAGGAAGGGGGTAATCCCTTCTGTAGGAAAATCAGATTCAGAGTCCCCTCTCTAATGGGGGTGGGGCTGGCTTCAAAATCATGGAGTAGGCCCCCAGTGTGTCTCACAGAACACTCTGGGGAGGAAACCCACAGCCAGCTGAGCTCGGGTTGGCCATCACTGATGGCTAAAATTGGAAAAACAGCCAATGGAGGACCCCCTCTGCCCTCCCTCCTTCCAGGAGTGACATAGTTCAGAGTTCACACAAATTATCTCAATGGAAGCCCAAGATCTTGGCTCATCAAGGACAATCCCAGGCACCTGGAACCCTAACCCAGTGCGTTTCCAGAGAGCTGAGAGGGGTCTGGCTTGGAACAAACAAATTTGGTAAGAATGCACAACTTGTCCCAGAGTCCCAGGGAATGCGGGCGAGTGAGGGAATGGGCAGTCCCTGAGAAATCTCAATAGCCAGCTCCCTTCCAAAGGGTGGGGGTGCGGAGGGGGGGCTGGAGGGACGTCTTCCCCCAAGCCTAATCAGGGAGCAGCAAGGCTGCGACCCAACTCAAAGAGGGTCCCCGGGCGGGTGGGGGGAATCAGTGCCAACAGGTCCCCTTCGAGCCCGTCGCCAGGGCTGACTGCTGGCCCAGGGAGAGGGCATGCGGGGGTAGGGGTTGGAAGGCTGGTGGGGGGGGACCGCAGAGAGAGGGGAGGGGCAGCAGGGCTCACAGACACGGAGGACAGGGACAGCGAGAAGGCACAAAGGGAAGGGGCAGGCAGGGACAGAAGACAGACGGAGCAGCTGGGCACGACGCCGGGCAGAGACAGGCCGGCAACAGGGAAACTGAGGCAAAGAAAATCACGGAGCCTTGCGCGGCCCACCTGGGCGAAGGCGGCTCCCCGGGCCGGGGGAAGGACCCGCCCCCACGGACACAGGGCGCGGCCCCCCACCCCGGCCCCGCGCCCGGCGGCCAGGGCCCCGCGCCACTCACCGGACTTGCCGGCCCCTCGGCGCCCCAGGATGGCCAGGTTGACCTCGAGGGGCGCGCTCTGCGGCCCGCTGCCCGCGCGGGGCTTCCCGAACACCGAGGACATGGCGCCGCCCCGGAGAGCCCCGCGCAGCCGCCCGCCCGTCGGGCCTGGAGAGCGGGACGCGCGCTTCCCCGGCGCGCCGGCCCCCGTCGGCGTCCGCGCCCTCGGCCCCGCGCAGCCCCGGCCGGCCGCCACCCGGGGGAGGAGGGGCCGGTGGCGCCTGGAGGGCGGGGCCGCCCCGACGCGACCGAGCGCCTTGTAAGGGCTGCGGAGCCCCCCCGGGGCGCGCTCGCTCGGCCCCCGGCGCGGGGAGGGAGCTCCGGCCGGCCGCGCCCCCACCGCGGGTCTCGGCCCCGGGGACCCAGCCCGTCACCCTCCCGAGCGCACCCAGACCCTGCCGGGAAGGAGCAGAGCGAGGGATCCCCAGGGCCAGGGGGTGGAGGGGAGGAGGTTTGCACTCCTCCCCAACCTCCCCCTCAATCTTTTCACCAGCAAGAAAATCCACCCCTCCCTCTGTTCTACCGAGCGGGCTCCGCCTCCTCCTCCAGGAAGCTTTCCGGGTTCAATTCCAAGCTTGCCCGTTCTTTAGCTCAGCCTTGGCACTCCATGTCCCCAATCACATTATTCTGCCCTTTCCTGTGAAGACTGTAGTGGCCTCACTGCAGAACCCAGGCTTCCGGGAGGGGCGGTGGGGCAGAGAGAACCCCTCACTAAGATTTCAGGGACAATGTAGGTTCAGCTTCAAGAAACCTAATCCATCCTGAATTAGTCTCTCCCTAATGGGAGCTAATGAGTTGCATGTGTTCCTGGCTTGTTGTGTAAATGGGGTATTTGTTCTAAAACCTGGCACGGCCTCTTGCCTACAGCAATTCTGGGATTAGTGGTGAGCCTGGCAGGGATCACCTGGTCATTCCCCTTGGGACTCAGGATAAATCTGGTCATACCGAAGACAGGCCAAAGGGCCCACACCTCGACCCTGGGCGCTTAGGATCTGGTGCTAGCTCCTTCCCTGGAGTGATCTTGGGCAAGCCACCTTGTTTCTTTGGGCTTTGGTATTCCCATCTATAAATACTAAAGGAAGGGGAAAATGAGCCACAATAGAGAGTAACAGAGTCAGCCCTGGGCTCCAGGCCTGTGTACATCTAGAACCCTGTGAGGCATCTCTTCGGGAGCACACTCCAGGCTAGAGCCGGGAAAGGCATGGGGGCCTCAGAGACCCCTCCCGGCAGCCCTTCTCCTGCTTCCCCCAGGTGATTAGCTCATCTACCCACCCACCCAGAGAGGCGCCATGGAAAACCAGTCTGCAGGCAGGGCCCAGGGTCAGAGCCGGACGGTAATAACGTCTCTTCAACGGAGAACAATTATTTTCCTGGCCAGGACATGGATATTGACTCGGCCTAACTGTGTTTTGGGAGGATCATGGTAAACCAGCTGTGTTTTAAGGTATTGGGTGGAATTTGTTTAGATTACACTCTCAGGCCAGAATTAGTCATATAGCTAATGGCCAAGGATTTTCCTTTGAGTTGTAGGAGTTGAGAAAGTGGGAGCCAAGTTCCAGCCACATCCCTGGGCTGGCCCATCCTGTGAAGACAGACTGGTTCCAGATGGGGCCTGTGGGGATAAAACCCATCATCTCAATGGACCACTGCTGGAGACAGGGCTAGCTGTGGGCCTACACCGGCCCAGCTGCATGGAAACTTAAGCTCTGTTACTTTCCAGCTTCAGTGATGCTGGGATATTACTTGACATCTATCTGGTCTCAGTTCCTCATCTTTAAGCTTAACCAACCAAGAGAGGGGAGCTGCAGGATTCTAGCTCAGTCTGAAGGTGAACTCTCTAACCATCCGACTGTCTGTAGTCAGAAAGGACTGTCTTTGGTGGAACTGAACCCCTCTCCCCTGACACTGGTAGCAACCAAGGGGGTGACCACTTTAAGAAAGCGTTGTAGAGGAGACTCCATCATAACTTGCCACGGTGCAGTAAGATGACCCTTAATTCTCTTCCAGCTTAGAGATTATTTGAGCTGGTGGCCAGCTGGTTGCTGGGACCCTCAGCTGTGACAGCTCAGTGCTCAAAGTCTGCCCCTCCTCTGAGGCTTTGGAAGAAAACAGTGCCCACCTCATCGCTGGGACCAGCCCTTCTCCATCCCGTTTCCTCACCTGTGAGCTGCTACTGTTAGACCCTGGAATAAGCTACTTTGCCCTTCAGGGCCTCAGTTCCTCATCTTTAAAATAAGGCCAAGCCTGGGCAACATTGTGAAACGCTGTCTCTAACAAAAACATATAAAAAAAAATTAGCTGGGCATGGTGGTGTGCACCCATAGTCCCAGCTACAAGGGAGGCCACCGTGGGAAGGCAGCTTGAGCCCAGGTGGTCAAGGCTGCGGTAAGCTGTATTTGCACCGCTGCACTCCAGCCTGGGTGACGGGGCGAGACCTTGTCTCAAAACAGGGACAATATCAAGAAGTATATTAGATGACATGTGTTCTACCCAGAGCTTCAAGAAGTAGGGTAGTTCCCCGTCCTCCTCAGGATACAAATGGCACACATTTCTCATCCACCTACGAAGACGTCACAACCGTTTAGTGACTTCTACACTAAACGTTTAGTGACATTTGTACACTTCAGGTCCAGAGAAAGGTTATTCTGCTAGGGCAAGTAACCCAACTGTCCTTAATCTCTATCCCCAGCCCCCATCAAGGGTCTCATAGGAGGCCCTGGGTACTCAAAATGCAGAGGATGTGGCACCAAGCCCAGCAGTGGGTATGCAGCAGGTGCTCACTCGATATCTCTGGAGTGGACGCTGGAGCAAACCTAGGTCTAGACATGTAGGGCCTCTGAGTTTTCCTGACGGCAGGGCCCACCCTTGCCACCCGTCCCCAGGAGCCACTTCACATAAAGCTAAGCTTTTGGTACCCTCTGGTGATGTGGTTGCCTCTTCTGGAGGCACAACATGACAACCATTTCTGTGCTTGTTGAATGATAAGTTCAGATGTCAAAGCTGAGCCTTAGAAGTCAGATTCAAATGCCACTGGACAGATGAAGCACTGCAGCCTGAAGGGCTCGGGCAGCTTTTGTTAGGCAGTGGTGGTACCGGCATCAGAGCCCAGGCAGGAATCCTGACTCCCAGTCCAGTGCTCTTCCTTCTCCAGGTCCAGGCAGTACAAGCCACTCACTACCCTGTGTACAGAAACACCTACGTGCATGAGTAGCAAGGGCCAGGGCATTCCCATCAGACTTCAGAGGGTGGGGGTGTCTCCCAGGTCAAGGGTTATAGCTTCTCTAACAGACTGGAGACTCCCACAGGTTAGCGTCCCAGAGAGTCTACTTAACAGACGCCTACTGTGTGCCAATCATTGTGGATACAGGGTGAACAACACTAGGTCTGCGCTCTAGAAAGGCTGAGTCTGAGGCAGGCTCCTTTCTCCTTTCTTTGCCCCCATCCCCAGCCTCACACAGTGTGGGGGATGCAGAGTGGAGAGGGAGGTTGGTGCGGGGTCGAGCAGGGCCTGGGAACTCTGTGGGCTGCCCACAGCCGGGATAGTTCCTTGTCCTCTCCAAATCCCAGAGGGACACTCAGTGTCCGGGAGGAGGAAACTCTCCCCAGCTGCAGGCAACACCCCACTGGGGCCGTGGGGGTGGGACAAAAGGGCTGATCCTCAGCCCAGCCTTAGGAAAACATGACCCCCACCTTGGGTGACCCCCTCCCCACTGCCTGGCTGCTGAAGGTGGAAACTGGGTGTGTGCACAAGCCCCAGCCCACTCAAGGCAGGGCTGGACTTGGAAAAAATCAAGCCAAGAGCAAACTTCAGCCAGGAGGGGTTTGCGCTCCCTCCCCCTCCTGCTCTCTGGAGAGGGCCACGCAATGGTTCCATCTGGTTGTGTCTGCCAGTTACTAGGTGTCTGGAACAGGCCATCTGGGAGGGAACGATGGTCCCAGGACTATGCAGCAGCCCGGCCCCCAGCAGAAGGCAACTGTTTCCCTGCCCTGAGGCAAGACGAGTGCAGGTGAGGAGAGGCAGCTGGGGTCAGTGGGCTCGAGTTCAGTTCAGCCCCACATCTCCATTCATAACCAAGGAAAAGCCCAGCTCATTTCTAAGCCTTTCTTTTCTCATCTGTGAAATGGGAACAGTCAGACACCCTCTCCCTTCCACTAAGGCCACCAGCGAGGAAGGACACAGTCAGGACACAGCACTGAGAGCCCACTGGTCCCCAAGATTGGGACTGTCAGAATCTGCTGCCTGGACACCCCAGGCCATTCAGCCAATATGCAGCCTTGGGGAAAGAGAGAAGCTGGCAGAGCGCCTGGGATAGTATTCGTGGGGGCTCCTGCCCACCCATCCCCCCATCTCCTCCTCCTCTTCCTGTCTGGTCCCTGGGGCAGAGAGTCAGAGATATTTCTGGCTGCCTCCTCCAGGCCTCTGGCTTCCCAGGCTCACACAAGTGGTCCCCACATCCCATCACTGCTTTGATGGAGCGAACTGGGTAGGAGTTCCCTAGCGGGGGAGGGGCACATTCCTGTTGAATCTGCAGATTCATACGTGATGATCTATGCGTCTTCTAAGGGGGAGAAACGTTGCCCTGCCCTTCTTCCCACCTTCTACTTGGTCATTGTGAGCCACTGATCCTCCTTAAGAAGGCCTGCAGGTAAGGATGGGGCAGCTGAACATCTGAATGGCAGATACCATTTTACACATGTCTGGGCCTCAGTTTCCTCACCTTAGAATAAGGTGGCAGGTAGAGATAATCATTAAGCTCCATTCCATCTCCAGCTCCATTTTGGGACCCATAGTTTTAGCTGGTCACCCAGAAAAGTGCTCAGCAGTGGGAAAAGTGCCAGAGTGGGCAGCAGGAGGCCTGGGGCTGTCTGCCTCAAGCTACAAGACCCTGAGCACTTCCCTTTTCCCTCTGCCCCAGGTCCTCCACTGTAAGTGAGAGGATTGAACCATTACGAGCCTGCAGTGCCTTCCAAATATGCCCTCCTGACACAAGGTGACTGCCCAGCATTCATAGCACAGAGAGGCATCGGAGCACTGCGGTATGGCCCAGCACTTTGGGAGGCCAAAGAGAGTGGATCACTTGAGGTCAAGAGTTCAAGACCAGCCTGGCCAACAAGGTGAAACCTTGTCTCTACTAAAAATACAAAAATTAGCCAGGCGTCGTAGTGCATGCCTGTAGTCTTATCTACTATGGAGGCTGAGGCAAAAGAATCACTTGAACCCAATAGGCAAAGGTTGCAGTGAGCTGAGATCATGCCACTGCACTCCAGCCTGGGCAACAGAGTGAGACTCTTGTCTCAAAACAAACAAACAAACAAACAAACCCAACCAAACAAAAAACCCAACAACAACAAAAAACACAATGGTATGGGCAGACCCTCTATCGGTCCCCAGCCTTTCTGGCAGCAGGGACTGGTTTTGTGAAAGACAGTTTTCCCATGGACGGCAGAGGGGAGATGGTTTTGGGGATGATTCAAGCATATTACATTTATTGTGCACTTTATTTCTATTATTATTATAACATATAATGAAATACTTATACAACTCACCATAATGTAGAATCAATGGGAGCCCTGAGCTGCTTCTCCTGCAACTAGACAGTCCGATCTGGAGGTGATGGAAGACAGTAACAGATCATCAGGCATTAGTTAGGCTCTCATAAGGCCCAGTCAACCTAGATCCCTCCCATGCACAGTTCACAATAGGATTCACCCTCCAATGAGACTCTAATCCTGCTGTCACTGATCTGATAGGAGGCAGCGATTAGGCAGTAATGAGGATGGGGAGTGGCTGTAAACACACACGAAGCTTCACTTGCTCACTGCTCGCCTCCTGCTGCGTGGCCTGGTTCCTAAGGTCCGTGGCCCTGGGGTTGGGGACCCCTGCTCTAGAATCAGCCTGGCTGCGTTCCAGGCCTAGTCCTGCCACTCTCTGGCTATGTGACTAAACCTCTCAGCAATTCAGTCTCTTCATATATATTAAATAAGGCCATTAATAATTTCTAATTCAAAAGAGTTAATATAAAGTGCTTATAACAGTGCCTGACACACCATGCAATTTAAGTGTTAGCTATCATTTCAGGAAGCCCTTTTTCCCATCCACAGGCATATGATCCCCTAGGCAGCCCCACTTCCTTTTCCCAAGGCCTGGAGCCACGCAGCAAGTGTGGAATTCCCATTCCCATCCCAAGTCAGAGGCTTTATGGGATGCTCATCTGCAAAACAGGGTTGCCATCCTTCCCATTTTTCAGAGAAGAAAACCAAGACTCAAAAAGAGATTGGACTGGCTCAGAGTCAGGGCCAGACGCCCAGGACAAATTAAAACCCTGGTCCTGGGCCCCAGTCTGGCCCAATGTATTTGCTCCATCTCTGCCTCATTCTCCAATTTGCCTGTCCCACTCCTCTCAGCTGAAGAGGTGGGCTGGGTATTCATTTTGCCTCAGTTTCTCCCTAGCAGAATGGCCCTGGACAAGTTACCTAAACTCTCAGCCTCATCCAGAATATTCCAGATGTTGTCCCAAGACTGTGAAATAGGTGTTATTATTGGCCCCATTTTAGTTTTTTACTTTTTTTTTTTGAGACAGAGCCTCACTCCTTTGCCTAGGCTGGAGTGCAATGGCGCTAGCTTGGCTCACTGCCACCTCAGCCTCCTGAGTTCACGCTACTGTCATGCCTCAGTCTCCCAAGCAGCTGGTATTACAGGCTAGCGCCACCATGCCTGGCTTTTTTTTTTTTTTTTTTTTTTGAGACAGAGTCTCCTTTGTCGCCAGGCTGGAGTACAGTGGCGCAATCTCGGCTCACTGCAACCTCTGACTCCTGGATTAAAGTGATTCTCCTGCCTCAGCCTCCCGAGTAGCTGGGATTATAGGCACGCGCCACCATGCCCAGCTAATTTTTGTATTTTTGGTAGAGATGGGGTTTCACCATGTTGGCCAGGATGGTCTCGGTCTCCTAACACCGTGATCCGCCTGCCTTGGCCTCCCAAAGTGCTGGGATTACAGACGTGAGCCACGGCGTCCGGCCATACATATATGTATATTTTGTATTTTTCATATAGACAGGAGTTCCCCATGTTGGCCAGGCTGGTCTCGAACTCCTTACCTCAACTCCTGGACAGCTCTTCCAGGCAGACCCCGCCCTGCTGGTGGAGCACCGCGGCTTCTTGGCTCTGGAATGCGGAAGGCGCACGCCGCCGAGGTGGCCTGGGCGTTCTGAGCGAGGGCAGCTTCCGTGCCCGCTACACGCGTTCCCCGCCATCGGCCGAGCGACGGCGGAGGAGGACGAACTGCTCAGGGGACCCACCCGCCTCAGCCTCCCGAAGTCCTGAGATTACCGACGTGGGCCACCGTGCCTGGCCTGCCGGCCCCATCTGGAACAGGAGGAACGGAGTGCGGACACGCGCACGAGGCCACACAGCTGGGAAGACGCAGGTGAAATGGGCATCTCCGCCGCGGCCCTCAGTGCGCCGCCACGCTGCAGGTCACGGTACAGGGCCATTGCTACCGTCTCTTCTAAGCAAACCAGTGACCACGCCGGCCTCCGGATGCCCTCCGGGCCCGCAGCCACGCGGCCTGCGGGCCACCACATCACGTGGGCCGTACTATCTTTAGCCAGGGAGGGATATTTATAGCCCCCCGGGAAGTTCTTCGCTGGGGGAGCCCCAGCGTCGGTGGCCGGTGAACCCAAGGCCCCCCGGCGGCCTGCGCCCCTCCTGCTAGCCATGCCGCGGGGCCCGGAGACCCCGGTGCAGGTGTGGGTGGGCGGCCAGCTGTTCCAGGCCGACCGCGCCCTGCTGGTGGAGCACTGCGGCTTCTTCCGCGGCCTCTTCCGCTCCGGCATGCGGGAGGCACGCGCGGCCGAGGTGCGCCTGGGCGCCCTGAGCGCGGGCGGCTTCCGTGCCACGCTGCAGGTGCTGCGCGGCGAGCGGCCGGCGCTGGCGGCGGAGGACGAGCTGCTGCAGGCCGTGGAGTGCGCCGCCTTCCTGCAGGCGCCCGCGCTGGCGCGCTTCCTGGAGCACAGCCTCACGTCGGACAACTGCGCGCTGCTGTGCGACGCGGCCGCCGCCTTCGGCCTGCGCGAGCTGTTCCACGGCGCCGCGCTCTTCATCCGAGACGGCGGGCGGGGGCTGGCCGCCGGGCTGGCGCTGCCCGAGGCCCGCGCCTACGTGGCGGGGCTGCGGCCCAGCAGCTACGTGGCGGTGAGCACGCACACGCCCGCGCCCGGCTTCCTGGAGGACGCGTCGCGCACCATGTGCTACCTGGACGAGGACGCGAACGCGTGGCGCACGCTGGCCGCGCTGCCGCTGGAGGCCAGCACGCTGCTGGCCGGGGTGGCCACGCTGGGCAACAAGCTCTACATCGTGGGCGGCGTGCGCGGCGCCAGCAAGGAGGTGGTGGAGCTGGGCTTCTGCTACGACGCGGAGGGCGGCACGTGGCGCCGGTTCCCCAGCACGCACCAGCCGCGCTACGACGTGGCGCTGGCCGGCTTCGACGGCTGCCTCTACGCCATCGGCGGCGAGTTCCAGAGGACCCCCGTCAGCTCCGTGGAGCGCTACGACCCGGCCGCCGGCTGCTGGAGCTTCGCGGCCGACCTGCCGCAGCCGGCCGCCAGCGTGCCGTGCGCCCAGGCGCGTGGCCGCCTCTTCGTGTGCCTGTGGCGGCCGGCCGACACCACCGCCGTGGTGGAGTACGCGGCGCGGGCTGACGCGTGGCGGCCGGTGGCCGAGCTGCGGCACCCGCAGAGCTACGGCCACTGCATGGTGGCACACCGCGACAGCCTCTACGTGGTGCGCAACGGGCCTTCGGACGACTTCCTGCACTGCGTCATCGACTGCCTCAGCCTGGCCACGGGCCAGTGGACGTCGCTGCCCGGCCAGTTCGTCAACAGCAAGGGAGCGCTCTTCACGGCCGTGGTGCGCGGCGACACCGTCTACACGGTCAACCGCGTGTCCACGCTGCTCTACGCCATCGAGGACGGCGCGTGGCGGCTGCTCAGGGAGAGGGCCGGCTTCCCACGGCCGGGCTCCTTGCAGACCTTTCTCCTGAGGCTGCCTCCTGGCGCTCCTGGGCCTGGGGCTTCAACAACGCCGGAGCTGTGAGCTCGGGGCCGGCTTGGGGAGGGAGAAGACGCCCAGCTCGTCCCTAAGCTGTGGCTGAGCGTGCGAGGCCGGCCTCAGGACTAGCTGGCCACTTCCCTCTCTCCACTGAGACACCCAGGTCTGGTGCCTTTGATGGTGTGGACGTGTTTAAGAAGCTCAGGGAGCAGCGACGATGCCCTCAAATTACTTGTGCTCTGCTGAGAGCGGGTGGGTCACAGTGTCACCGAAAAGGGTCCGGGGAGTTGGGATTCGAATAACCCAGGCTTGTATAAAATGGACTATGACTGAGCATGGCTGGGAGTGACTTCAGTGATGCTAAGCAAACTGCCAGTAGCAGGCAAGAATTAGGCGCCTAGTGTATGCGCAGTGCAGTGTTATGCCTAATGAGAGCTGTACTTGCCACACAGGGATCCAGGAAGCTTAGACGGTAGCCCAGAAAAAGGTCTTAACGGTTACAGAACAAAAAGGTTTACACACACTTGTCTTGATTCACAGAAGTGAAAGCAACATGCAAAAAGTTTTAAAACCACCTACAATATAAGAAAGTGCTGAAGAAATCAGGGCTAAGGGAAAATAGGAAGAGGAAAAGTAACTCCAGAAAGGAGGAGAGTGTGCACACTCCATGGAGGAGATGCACAGGATACCATTAGCTGCTGAAAGGGGAGGCTCAGACCATAGAGGCTGAGAGCTCAGAAGAGAAGCAGGGTCGGAGCAGGCTGGAGCAGATGGGGAGGGGCTCTGCAAATCCACCCACACTGGCAGAGCGGCAGTAGGTGGGGCATCTGGAGAGGGGTGAGGCCGGGCCAACTTGTAGCAGATAGTGACTGAACTGAGCTCGGAGTGAGACCCGTAGGGTGAGAGAGGGTTCTCCACGGTCCCTTTTGGGACCCTTAGTATAAGTCCTTGCCCACCCCCTTCCGGCCATCACCATGGGGGCAGTGGACTGTTAGCCCGCATGACTTCAGGTCTCTCAAGGTATGAGCCAAATCCTGCCTCATCCTCCTCAGTTGTAGCCCTTCCTTCACATTCTACAGGTTTGTTCACTTCCTGTCATATTCTGCCCTTCCCCTGGCAAGGATGCCTTGTCTCTTTCCCTGTCAGCGCTGTACCATCCTCCTCTGTGCAGCATTGGCTGACCTGGGCTGCCTGCATTGTTCATTGGACCCCCGGCTGTAACATCATTGTGTGTGCACAACCGCGTTTGCAGATTGTAAGGACGGAGATCCTGTTAACTAAGCTGGGGTACTTCCCTGCCCCTGATTAAAATGATGATGTCTTGAAAGAGCCCAGGCTACAGAGGCCACTGGTTAGGAACCTATTGCTGACCTCTGTTGTTGGTTGGGGACTTTCATTCCTTCATCAAAATCCTCAGCTCTGGCTTCTGGGCAGCTGCCTGTCCCGGCCCTCTCCAGCGTCTCTGTGGCCTTGGGAAAACTTCTCTGGGTGGTCCTGATTGGTCTCCATCCCCCAGGACCTGAGGCCCATAGGGAGTCTTGGCCTCATCAGAAGTGGAGAATGCAGTGTCGGCATGGCACCTCCCGGGGCAAGGAGGTTCATGTCAGGGCTGCCCCTAGCAGCCTCTTCTCTTGGCCTGTGTCCCAAGCCTGGAGAATGCTGTCCTCAGAAGCCTGGAACCTTCCAGCCCTGGAGTAGCCTAGTCTGATTAGTCTCAACAATAAACCCTGACTTTTGCAACTTGTGAATGATGTGCAAGGTACTTTCACATCCGTCTTTCCCCTCCAGATCTACCTTGAGCCTTGAACTTGGGTACCCTCTTGTGGCAGAAGCTGACCCCCTAGCCCAAAGCCAGACAGCATAGCTGCAGAGCTCCTCACCTGTGGCTCTATCAACGAGACTGGGTCTCGTTCTGTCACTCGGGCTGGAGTGTAGTGGTACAGTAACAACTTACTGCAGCCTTGACCTGCAGCCTTGACCTCCCCACCTTAGCCTCCTGAATAGCTGGGACTACAGGTGCACACCACCACAGCTAGCTAATTTTTATAAAATTTTTTGTAGAGGTAGGGTCTCACTGTGTTGCCCAGGCTGGTCTTGAACTCTGGGCTCAAGCAATCCTGCTGCTTGGCCTCCAAAAGTGCTGGGATTACAGGCATGAGCCGCTGTATCTGGCCTCAAAGTGAAATTTTTATCACAGGTTAAAGATTTATTTAATTCACATAGAACCAAAAAGAATGGCAAAGCTGATTGTAAAGAGCATTTGAGAGACAGATTTGTATATTTAGTTGGAAGAGACATACTGAAATACGTTTGCTAAGTTAGAAAGCTGGTGCATGCCTTACAGAACAAAAGCATAATTGTTTTCGTTCTCTGCTGAACAAAAATCCTTTGCATCTTCACATACATGCACATACGTATTTGTGCACATGCCTATAAGTTAGCATGTAACTTCACAAAGTCTGGGCTCTGTGGTAAATTGTAAGGCAAAGGTACATTCCCCTTGAAAATTAACTCTTCTCTGATCAATCCTGTCCCAAGGTGACATTGAAAGGAAATAGTCCTCCTTTTGCCTCACTTCCAAGTTATGGATAATTGTTCATCACAGTACAGAGCGTTTTCCTCCTTGCTGGTGCCTCCTGACCAGTGCCAAATGCCTGAGACTTGCCACATCGTGTTCCGTCAGCTCGCAGTCTCTGTCATCCCACAGGACTGTCTGTACTTGGGCTGCTCAGCCCCGGCCTGCTGGCTCCGCGCATTTGGTGTTCATCCAGGGCAGCCCTTTCTGAGATGGCTTTTCTGCATAATAGTAACGCAGTGTTCACAGAGAGCTTTCCCACAGTGGACTTACTTGAGCTTTTAAGAATTTTAAGTGGTAGATAGTTGGGCAACACCCCTACTCCCGCAGCTTAGTGGAGGAAAAAAGCTCAAAGGCCCTGTGATGAGAAGAGGCTCCTTAGGAAGTGGCAGAACTTGGCTGTGAACCCAGGGCCATAGGGCCTCCTTCCATCCTAGGAAGTGTGGGGAAGCTTTTGTAACCCAGGCCACCTTCTCCTCTGCCTAAGGGTCCGCACAGTTAAGGCTTTGCTCCACCACAGCCAGCGTGTGTCACCACTGCCCGCCACCCTCAGCAGGGATGGTGACCATGCCTGGGGTGCAGGTGAGGAAACCAGCAGAAAGCCAGAATGGCTCACTCAGTCATACAGCCAGTTAAGGGGAAGAGCAGGTGCCTGAACTCAGGACTTGAGATTCTCAGCCTCTCATTCCCCGCCACCTCAGTTTGACTACTGCATGAAGGTGTGGGGGCACAAACCAGGTGCAGCTGGGCAAATTTCAGAACACTTTGGCGTTACTGAGCTCAGAGGGCCGCGTTTGAAATCTCTGTCCCAGCCCAGAGCTTTACTCTGAGAAGTCCGTCCTTCCAGAGAGGCCACCCACACAGCTTAAAGCTGCAGGGAGCGTATTCCTGAACTTGGTGGCAGCCCTGCAGCCCAACTCTCTGGAGCCCTCTCCAGTCTTCCACAAATGTTCTTCTTGCCCCGACTCCAGATACCCTGCACCCCAAGCCTTCCTCTCCCTGAAACCATCCCATCTGGTTTGCACTGTCTATCCGGCAGAGGTAGAGAAGCTGCCTCCCCCCACCCCCCATCCTCCACCCAGGGCCTGCTTCCTTGCTGGCTTCTCTTCAGTGTGGTCACGGGGCAGCCAGAGCCATCCTAATGCAACAGAGCGCCACTCAGAGCATGGTGCTCCCCTCTGAAAGACAAAGTCCTTCCTTTCAGACTCCCCCTCCCTCTTTCCTCCCTGACTTCATCTCCTCCGCTCCTCTCTGGTCTCGTGGCTCTTCAGATGCACCAGGCACACTCCCGGCTCAGGGCTGTGGCGGGTGTCCCTCTGCCGGCGCACCGCCTCACTTACAGCACCCCGCCTCCTGCAGGTCTTGGCTCAGATGTCGCTTTGATCCCGCGGCCTCTCCTGACCTTGTTACTTAAAATCTACTTCTCCCTTCTCTTCCGTGCCCTCCTCCTTTTTCCTATTTTCCTCCATAGCATTTAGCATCACCTTCCATGCTGTCTTTTCACTTGTTTGCTGTTTGTTTCCTCCTATTAAAATTTGAGCTCCATGAAGGAAGAGGTTTTTTTCTGTTTTGCTCACTGCTCCCTCATCGGGACCCAGAACAATGACTAGAACATAGTGGGCAGCTTAAGAGACGATTTATATAGTAGGGACTTAAGAAATAGTTGTTGAATGAATGAATGGTACTCAATGGATGTCAGTTGAAAGAATGAATTAATCAATTGATCGACTGATCAATTTCCTTCACTGATCTTCCAGTGAAGGAAACTCCCTAGAAGAGATACAGAGAAAGACTCTCAGATTTCAGAGGACAGGGGTATCATTTCTGGCAGGGCTGTGGCAGGTGGCCAGGGAAGGCTTTTCTGTAGAGGTGACAAGCTGCCAAGTTCACAGTACACCCTGGGAAGCATGAGACCTGAGAACAGCAGCAGCTCATGGGTCCTTCCTTCTTCCAAAGGAAGGGAGGAAGCTGGGATTGGAAATGCTAATCATCCTGTGAAGAATGGCTCCTCTTGGCGGTGGAATACACACAGGGCTGGTCTGTTTATTTTCCTTTGGCCCCAAGCAGCCGGGCCTCTTTTTCATCCTAATTGCTTTGCTTCAAGTTGCTGTCACATCCCAGGAACAGCAGCAAATTAACTGTGCTGGTGGGAGACACAGCTGTCAGAAGACAGGCTGCCCCCAGCATGCCGGTAATGGGCATGGGATACGGGACCCCCAGGAGGAGGCCTTGTCCCAGCAGTGCCCTCTGCAGCCCCCATGATTCTGCCCCAGCTGGACTGGGGAAGCACAAAAAGAGGGAGCCCTTCTCTCTGGCATCCGAGTAACTAACAAAGGGAAAATGGGCCTTTTGTTGGGCTTCAGGGTCTTGGAGCAGGGTAGAAGCCTCTAGTTCCACCCCTCTCTTCACAGGGAAGGAAAACAAGGTCGTGGGTTGGGGGCAAGCAACTTTCCTGGAGACACAGCAATGCAAGTGGACCACCCAAACTAAAGCCTACTTCTCTGGAATCCTCCTCCCAATCCGAACATGCTATTTCCTGTGCTGCCTTCCAGGGCACTCGCGAGGGAGCTTCCCCATGGTGACCCATCGTCAGGCTGCCCTCCCTGATTCCAGGCTTCCATCCTCATTTTTTCTAGGAAAGTTCCTCTACACACACACCCCATTCAACACTCGGATTCAGCGGATATAGACAAAGGAGTTAATCTCTAATGGTATTTGGGCACCTGGGCCCTTCAGATCACACACTCATGCATGTGTGCGCGCGCGCGCGCACACACACACACACACAATTTTGCCAACTCTACAGGAGGTCAGAAACCACTGGGCCAGCATGCTTCTCTTTCCAGGTAACGTATTTTCATTCTAACTGTGGCCTTAGATATGCCTGACTGCAAAGTCCTGATTAGCAAAGAGAATTTCAGGTGCTCAGAGAGAGCGCTAACACTAGGCTGCGTGGAAGCGAGGGACTGAGGACTCTGTAGGTGCCACTGTGCGGACGACAGTGCTGCCTCGCTGCCGGCTGACTCTGCGGTCAGACCCTGGCTCTGGCAGCAACTTCTGTTTGGCCATGGGTAAATCCCGTAAAGTTGCTGAAATGAAAGAATGAAGGTGTCTCGACTCTAACCAGAGATGGTAATTCCAGGAGGGTGGTTCTGAGGGTGAAATAAGAGCTTCCAACCAGCGTATGCAATCCTCACCTCCCCAGTTCCTTCCCCCGCCTTCTCTTCACACTTGCCCTCCACACGTTATGATACCTTACTGTGGGGAAAGCAGGTTTGGTGAATGGACCGTGTTCCTGCTGTCTGTGCATATCACTCCTGACACGGTAGGGTGGCATCCAGGGGACCTGGGCCCGTATTCCAGCTCCATCACCTGCCACCTGTGTGATGCTGGGCAAATGGAGATGGTGGTGAAAGACTGTTACAGAGTCTCTTGTGCAGAAGCTGTGACGTGCCTGCGGTGGGGCCCGAGAAGTAGGCTGAGTCTGAGTGTGAGGAGCTTTGACTGCCAGGCTGGAGGTCTTGAGCTTTATTCTGCAGGAAGTGGGAAGCCATGGTAAGTTTTTGAGGCGGTGAGTGTCACGGACAGAGCTGCTTTTGTATTCAGATAGCAAGCCCGTCGTCCATCCCTGGGTTGGTGGCTCCTGCTCGTCCCTCCAGATCAGCTCCTTTCTCCTCCTGCTCTGTGCCCCAAGAGGTGGTCCTGTCTGGGTGATATCACTGGGCTCCCTTGACTGGCTTCCAGTACAGAGCAGCAGCAGGTGGGAAGTGGGAGGGCCGCAGAGTCAGGAACTTAGTTCCCGGCTCCCTCCCTGCAGGGCGCTCTTGCACTGAACTTTTTCCTTCACTGACTCAGTCCCTGCCACTGTCGGGTGGTCTATTCCTTACTGCCTGCTCAGTCTCAGGCCGAGGTGGCTGCCTGCTTCCCTCCTGCCCCCGCCCAGGAGTGGGGGAGCCCTGAGCTCACTAGCCTTGTGCTGTCCCTTAGGGGCCCTCAACCCTGTGTGGACAGCCTTTTCCTCAACCCTCCTCTAGTGACCTGATTTTTGAGTGTGCCATCTCTTTCCTGCCAAGACCCTGCAGGACACATGCCCTGTCCCCTCTGACCCTCAGCTTTCTGGGCCATGTCACCGAGTGGCTTGGCTGGGGCTGCTCATCTCAGTGCCACGGCCTG